GCAGCAGCAGCAGAAGTAGCAGCAGCAGCAGCAGCAATAGTAGTAGCAGCAGCAGCAGCAGTAGTAGTAGTAGCAGCAGCAGTAATCGCAGCGTGCCTAGCAGCAGCAGCAGAAGAGGCCAGCCGCAGCGTACATCTTCCCATACAGCAACTGCAGCAGCAGCAGGAGCACCAGCTGCAGCAACAGCAACAGCAGCACCAGCACCAGCAGCAGCAGCAGCAGCACGAGGCGCATCCCGAGCGAGGCTGCGACGTTTGCTGCTGTCTTCTAGCGATGAAGAGACAGGGAAGTGTAGGGCTCCCTTGCTGCCTCGCTATGCCCCAACTGCAGCAGCAGCAGCACCAGCAGCAGCAGCAGCACCAGCAGCAGCAGCAGCAGCAGCAGCAGCAGCAAAGTCAGCGATCCCTGCCGCACCCAAGCAAGAGCAGGTTGAGGGCCCCTCTAACCCCTCGCCAACGTTCTTAGAGACGAAGCAGCAGCAACAGCAGCGGAAACAGCAGCAGCAATCGCAGCAGAGGCAACAGGAGCAGCAGCAGCAGAAGAGGCAGCAGCAGCCGCAGCAGGACGAAGATCGGAAGAAACAGAGGCAGCAGCAACCGACGCAGCAGCAGAAGCAGCAGCAGCAAACACGCATGAAGGCTACAGAGGCAGCAGCAGCAGCAGACAATGTCGCAGCAGCCAAAGAAGCAGCAACCGATGAAGCTCCACCAGCAAGGACGGCCTATTCTGCTGCTGTTCCTGCTGCTGCTGCAGCAGCACCTGCTGCTGCTGCTGCTGCTGCTATTCCTGCTGGTGTTGAGGCAGCTCCTGCTGCTGGTACTGCTTCTCCTGCCGCTGCAGGTACAGCTCCTGGTGCTGCTGCTGCTGCTGCTGCTGCTGCTGCTGCTGCTTGGGGCCGGTGGATTCCAGAGGAGCTTGACCCTCTTGCTGCGCTGCTGCAGCAGCAGACAAAAGAAGTTAAAGATAAAAGAGGTGAGGAGACAGAGAGAAGGGGTTTGTTAATATTCAGATGCATGCAAATAAATAAACAAATATAAACAAATAAATAAACAAATATAAATAAATAAATAAACAAATGTAAAGACAAACAAAGACAAACAAGGAGACAGAATAATTTGCTGTCCTGTGCTGCTGCACTTACCCCTTTGCTGCAGGCTTTGACTTACAGCAGCAGCAGCAGCAGCAGCAGCCCCAGCAGCAGCAGCAGCTGGAGCAGCAGCTGCGGTTGTATTTAAGTGATATCCGGCCTCGGTCTGCTGCTGTCTCCTTTTGCTGCTGCATCAGTAAGTCTGTTGCTGCAGCAATTCGTAGCGGGTTGCTGTCATTCTGTCTGCTGCAGCAGGAACTGCCAGCAGCAGCAGCAGCAGCAGCAGCAACAGGAGCAGCAGCAGAAGCAACAGCACAACCAGAGCAGCAGAAACAAACTCAGGAGCAATCTTCAGTCGTCTATGTAAACCCTAAACCCTAAACCCTAAACCCTAATTAAAAACCCTAAACCCTAAATCGCAATAAACACATCATTCTCTTGCGGTTGTTTGCTGCTAATCCTCTTTTTGTCTCCTCTTCGTCTCTTTTTTATCTGTTTATTTTATTTATTTGTTTTTATTTGTTTTATTTATTTGTTTGTTCTTGTTTATTTACTTTATTATTGTTTATATTTACTTTGTTTTATTTCTTTTATTTATATTTATTTTATTTTTTTGTTTTTTTCTCGCTTTGTTTGTTTCATCATCGTATTTATTTATTTATTTATTTATTTTTGTGTATATATTATTATTTATATTTATTTATTTTATTTTATTTATATTTATTTATTTATTTTATTTATATTTATTTATTTTATTTTATTTATATTTATTTATTTTATTTTATTTATATTTATAATTATTTATCTTTCTTTATATATGCGTTTACAGATTTTATTTATATTTATATTTATATATTTATTTATATGATTATATTTATATTAATTTATATTAATTTATGTTAATTTATATTTATATTATTTATTTATTTATATTTTTTTGTTTGTTTCTGAAGGAGACGGCTGTGAGTATAAGCAGAGACAGCTCAGACTATCATCAATTGAAGGGGCAGCAAACTGTCTCTTCGCTGTCTCCGTCTGTCTCCTACCGCTTCTCTCTATTTGCACGCACCCCACAGCAGCAGCAGCAGCAGCAGCAGCAGCAGCAACAGCAACACGAGCTGTAACACCGGCAGCAGCAAAAACAGCAGCATTATCAATATCCCCAACATCGTCAGCAGCAGCAGCAGCACCACCAGCAGCAGCAGCAACAGCAGCAGCAGCAGCAACAGCAGCAACAGCAGCAGCAGCAGCAGCAGAAGCTTTATCGTTGATAGGTTCAGTCGACCTGGAGCAGCGGCAGCAAATAGAACGCTGGTCAGCTGCTGCATGCAGTGTATTTGCTGCGGGGCTTCGTCTCCCTTCTCTTTATGCTGCTGTTTGTTCTTGGGGTGTATCAGGATCTTTGCTGCTGCGCCTTACAGAGAGAGAGCTAAATGCTATGGGCCTCCCCGTAAACCCTAAACCCTAAACCCTAAACCCTAATTTGCTCATTAATGAACCCTAGTCTAGAACCTAGGAGACAGTTGAAAACCCTAATAAACACTCATTAACCCTAAACCCTAATTTACTCACTAGTAAACCCTAATCTAAACCCTAGGAGACTGTAGAAAACCCTATTAAACGATAATAAACCCTTTCTTTTACCTTTATAGATACTTGTAAACCCTAAAAACCCTAATAAACCCTAATCTAAACTATAATAAACGTGATAAACCCTAAACCCTAATGGGTAGTATTAGAACAAACAACGAGGCAGCAGCAGCAGCGCTCAAACAACTCCTCAACAAGAGGGTTTAGGGTTTAGGGTTTAGGGTTTGAGTTGCGAATGATCAGGAACCCCTTTTTCAAGCGCGCTTCTTTCAAGCCCGAGAGGCCCTGCTGAGGGACGATGAAGAGCAGCAGCAGCAGCAGCAGCAGCAGCAGCAGCAGCAGGATTAGCTGCAGCAGCAGCAACAACAGCTGCAGCAGCTGCTAGAAGTTGCAGCAAGAATAGCTAGAGAAGCAACAACAACAGCTGCAGCAGCTGCTGGCAGCGTAGCAGCACTAGGGATAACTGCAGCAGCAGCAGACACTGCTGCAGCAGCAGCAAACACTGCTGCTGCAGCAGCAAAAACAGTGCTGCTGCAGCAGCAGCTGCAGCGTTTGCAGGTTATTGGGGTTGCCCGTTGTTAACTCCCTATTCTTTTTGAGTAAAGGGTCTTACACCTAAACCCTAAACCCTAAACCCTAATCGAAACCCTAAACCCTAATATTAACCCTAAACGATAAACTCTAATATAAACCTCAAATCTTTATCTATGCCCTAAACCCTAGGCCAAATCCTAAACCCTCGTACAAACCCTAAACCCTAATGTACACCCTAAACTCTTATCGAAACTCTAGACAATAAACTAAACCCTAAACCCTAGCATATAAGCCCTAAAACCTACCGCAAACCCTAAACCCTAAACTCTAATCGCAGCACCAGACATATCCTGGTATGTAGCCTGAGGCTGCAGCTGTATTAGCTGCTGCTGCAGGTGCTGCCTCTGCTGCAGTTGCAGCAGCAGCAGATGCTGCTGCTGCTGCTGCTGCTGCCGCATGCATACACAAACCCTAGTTAGAGCTGAGTTCGTACAAACCCTAAACCCTCATTATTAAGACACCGCAGAGAACCAGCAGGGATGGTGGCCCATGGAAAGGCCTGCTAGGGTTTAGGGTTTAGGGTTTAGGGTTTAGGGTTTAGGGTTTGCGGTGATTATTCCACTATTATTTAGAGCGGTTTAGGGTTTAGGGTTTAGGGTTTACTTGCTACTTAGACCGCCTAGAAAAGATAATTGAGAAGCCCCTGAGGCTCAGGGAAGTGTTAAGGGTTTAGGATTTAGGGTTTAGGGTTTAGGGTTTAGGGTTTACGTAGCGGGGGTTTGTATGAGGCGAAGGCCACCGGGTTTATAACAGCAACGGTGTAGGGTTTAGGGTTTAGGGTTTAGGGTTCAGGGTTGTTAGATCGCTGCTGCAGACAGGCAAGAAAACCTCTTGCCGTTAATCATTTCAGGGGTTTTAGGGTTTAGGGTTTAGGGTTTAGGGTTTAGGGTTTAGTGTTTTCAGGGGGCCCTTCTCCAGCAGGCCCCCAGCCCCACGGGGCCCCCGGAAGGCTTTAGGGTTTGCGGTTTAGGGTTTAGGGTTTAGGGTTTAGGGTTTGTATTTTTGTATTTATCATATAACTCATTATCTCCACGCTCTTCGCTCTGCATTTTTCTTTTGCTGGCGCTTCCACATTAAACCCTAAACCCTAAACCCTAAACCCTAAACGAGGAGTCGTGGCAGCCTACCTCGTTAAACCCCTAGCAACAGTTGCTGCAGCAGCTCTGCTGCTGCCGCTGCTGCTGCTGCAGCAACTGCAGCAGCAACTGCAGCGGCTGCTGCAGCTGCAACGGCAACAGCACCCAGTACCCTATACTAGCGGGCCGCTGCTGTGAGGGTTTAGGGTTTAGGGTTTAGGGTTTGTCTACGCGGTTGCTACTGTTGGTGGTGACTACGGGCAGCCTCTGGAGAGATCCAAAGTCTAGGGTTTAGGGTTTAGGGTTTAGGTGAGATGAGCACGAAGAGGGCGGCGTCTTCTGCGTCCCCAGTGGGTAAGGCTTACGGCGTAGGGTTTAGGGTTTAGGGTTTAGGGTTTAGGGTTGAAGGAGGGTTTTGGCTACGGGCATCTCCCTTATGGCGGTGCCTCTGGGAAGGGTGTAGACTCAGGGTTTAGGGTTTAGGGTTTAGGGTTTAGGGTTCAGCACGTCGTACCAGAATAAAGACTAGGGTTTAGGGTTTTAGGGTTTAGGGTTTAGGGTTTGTGTTTCTGCCTTTGCAGACGTGGGAGGAAAGCGGAGATGCGTCGACGGCGGAACGACCACCATATCATTTCGTAAACCCTAAACCCTAAACCCTAAACCCTAAACCCTAAGCCCTACTAAACCCTAAACCCTGTCCCTTCAGCAGCAGCTGTTTGCAAACCCTAGGATTTTTTATTGTTAGGCTGCATAATTTTTTCTTTATATGTAGGTAGTTTAGGGCGTAGAGCCCCTATGGTTTAGGTGAGTCTAGGGTTTAGGGTTTAGGGTTTAGGGTTTAGGGTTTGTGAGTGCAGCGGGGTACTACGTCGATGCTGCGGTGTACGGAGACAAAGGGGCGAGGAGACAGATGGAGGATGAGCGTCTGGTGATCTCATCTCTTGCAGAGTTGGAGCCGTCTTTAAAGGGCCTTCGCGACTTCGCGTAAACCCTAAACCCGAAACCCTAAACCCTAAACCCTAATCCCTTGTTTACGGCGAATGCGAGGGTTTCAGGGATACCCCACACTCTGCACTTCAAAACTCCCTCCATATATTTCCACTTCTTCTCAGCTAGGGTTTAGGGTTTAGGGTTTAGGGTTTAGGGTTTAGGGTTTAGGGTTTAGGGTTTAGGGTTTGAGGGTTTAGGGTTTAGGGTTTAGGGTTTAGGGTTTAGGGTTTAGGGTTTAGGGTTTAGGGTTTGGTGCAGGGTGTTTGCAATTATGGATGGGCACGGAGGCCGCCAGTCTGCGAATTTTGTGAAGACGGCGCTGCCCTTAGAAATCGCGAAGCAGCTGAAGCTCTTCCTGGAGCAGCAGCAGCAAGAGCAGCAGCAGAAAGAAGAGCAGCAGCAGCAAGGAGAAGAGCAGCAGCAGCAGCAGCAGCAGCAGCAGCAGCAAACCCAGACGCTACAACCCGTAAAGAGCGAGATCGATAAAAAAATAGATCCAGCAAACAGCAGCAGCAGCAGCAGCAGCAACAGCAGCAGCAGCAGCAGCAGCAGCAGCAACGGCATCCAACCCGGCGAAGTGTCGGACTATGAAATGAAGCATGTAAGATGCTGCTGCTACTGCTGCTGTTGCTGCTGCTACTGCTTCCGTTGCTGCTGTTGCTGTTGCTGCAGCTACTGCTGCTGTTGCTGCAGCTACTGCTGCTGTTGCTGCAGCTACTGCTGCTGTTGCTGCTGCTACTGCTTCCGTTGCTGCTGTTGCTGTTGCTGCAGCTACTGCTGCTGTTGCTGCGGCTGCTGCTGGAGCTGCTGCTGCTGCTGCTGCAGCTCAGGTCGCGGCACTTTCCCGCTTTCGTTTCTCTGGGCTTTTGCTGCTCTCGCTGCTGCTGTTGCTGCTACTGCTGCACTTGCTGCTGCTGCTGCACCTCTTGCTGCTGCTGCACCTCTTGCTGCTGCTGCTGCTGCGTGTGCAGGTGCTGTACGCGGCCTTCCGCAAAGTTGATTCTCGCATAGCAACAGAGATCCCTGCTTGTAGAGGTGCCCTTCAAACCCTAAACCCTAAACCCTAAACCCTAAACCCTAAACCCTTGTTGTGAAGCCCAATAGAATGAATTGAAACCCTGGCTGTATGCAGCAGCAATATCTGCGGACGGCATACTTCGACTCGCTGTGCGTCTGAGAAGACCGCAGGGTTTAGGGTTTAGGGTTTATGGTTTAGGGTTTAGGGTTTAGGGTTTAGGGTTTAGGGTTTGGGGTTTGTGTACAGACGGCTGCACGGCAGTGTTTGTGTTGATGCTGGGGCGCCAGGTATTCATTGCCGGCCTCGGAGACAGTGCAGCGTTTCTCGCGAGAAAGAGCGAGACAGGGCACTACGGTAGGGTTTAGGGTTTAGGGTTTAGGGTTTAGGGTTTAGGGTTAATTCGTTTGCATGTAGACGCCCTGCATTTTCGCGCATGCAGGATCAGTTAGCCCTTGACTTAGTACCGATGGTTTGCTTCTCTTTAGAGTTATTTAGAGTTATTTAGGGTTATTTAGAGTTATTTAGAGTTTAGGGTTTAGGGTTTATTGTTATGTATTGTTATGTATTGTTATGTATTCTTATTTATTCTTATTTATTCTTATTTATTGTTATTTATTGTTATTTATTATTTTTTTAGGGTTATTTATTATTTTTTTAGGGTTATTTAGGGTTATTTAGGGTTATTTAGGGTTATTAAGGGTTATTAAGGGTTATTAAGGGTTATTAAGGGTTATTAAGGGTTATTAAGGGTTTAGGGTTTGTGCAGCGATCCCTTTGACGGAGCCTCACCGACCTTATTTGTTGGCCGAGAAGGACAGAATTCTGAGGATGGGCGGCACAATCGAAGGCGGCAGAGTAAACGGCACGCTCGAGTTAACGCGTTCATTTGGTGACATCTCGTAAGCTTTTAACTTATTTAGCGTTGTGTTTAGCATTGTTTAGCATTGATTAGCATTATTTAAGGCTGTTTAGGGTTATTTAGGGTTATTTAGGGTTATTTAGGGTTATTTAGGGTTATTTAGGGTTTAGGGTTATTTAGAGTTATTTAGGGTTTAGGGTTTAGCGTTTAGGGTTTGGAGGGTGGGGGTGGATATATGCGATATATATATATATATATATATATATTTATATATATATATATATAT